AACACACACACACACACACACACACACACACACACACACACACACACACATACTCTTTGGGCAGCTTGGAGCTCATCTTTCAGGGAGTTAATTTCCTGCTTCAGGTACTGGACCTCTGACTCTTTCACCCTCAGCATCACCTAGAAAACAAGAAATTGATAGAAGCCAGCTTTTACTTTCTGGTCATTAAGACTATTACAACTTGTCTGAAGAGCCTCAGCTGTTTTTTAAAGCCTCTGGTACAAATGTCCATTCAAAATATGCATTTTTCATATGATGCAATTTTATATTTTTCTGCTTCTCTTGAAGTGAACCTCACCTCTAACTCATAGAGTTCTTTCCCCTGCATTGTGGTGTTTGTCTGACCTACTCCGTCTTCTGATACCATGGAACGCATCTTTGTGATCTCTGCTGCCAGACGGTTGTTAAGCTCCTACAAATGCCAACAGAAGAGGCGTAGTACAGTTTAGATGACGGGCAGAGGTGCTTCCCTGCACACTGTGTCAACACCAGTCAAAAGAGTGTCCCTGGGTAAATATTTGTATACAGGTGAGTTGGGTGTACCATTAAGTGACAGGATTGTGTATGTGTCTGCACCTGGTTGTGTGCGTTGAGCTCCTGGTTCTCTCTCTGACACTGCCTGAGGGCCTGCCTCTCGGCCTCCAGCGCCTGGGCCAAGTGGGCGTTTTCCAAGCACTTTTGGGAATACTGCTCCGACAACACTTGGATCTCCCGCTGGAATGAGCAGAGCTCCTCCCTGAAACACAACACAATACTACACTGAGAGAAAATATAATGCCACTACTGTGGGTTCAGGGGTGCAAGTACAACTAGGCATTCAAGCTCTAGTCTGGTTTAATGAATTAACAAGTTGATTTACTGTCCTGATAAATCTGCGGCCAGAAGAAATTTGTCACGGTGTAATGAGGGACAGATATTTGGTGGAAAACACAGATCTGGAGCTGTGTCTGTAATTCCATGTTTGGCAGAGTTCTAAATACATACTTTACAATCCATTAAGGTTAATGTTGACAAGCTGTGGAGCAGGAGTTCTTTGTCCTCCCTCATTCAGAGTGACACAGCTTTGAGATCAGACAGTTTCAAGAAACTCTTCCTCTTTGATGGGAAAACAAAGGCAGTGAAAAGAAAAGGCTGAAAAAGGTGTTGGCTTAATGCAATTCAGTTTGATTTACAGTTAACACCTGTACTTCCACACATCACCATGTGAAGTGTTACAGCACACTGAGGCATTACATGCATGTCCCAGCAAGTCCTGAGTGACAGCTGCTTGGTCTGAAACCACTTAATCAGTACTTAGAGCAACTCAAACCCTCTTTAATCAAGCAGTTAGAATAGCCATGTAACAGTGTAGCCCAGCTGATACTGGATTTCTGACCAATATCTGAGCAGGTTGAAAATAGACAGTGTAATGTTGTCACTGAGTTACCTCAAACTAATCATTGGTATTTTTGTATTGAAGTGTCTTCTTACTACAATTATTACACAATTATTATACAATAATTATTAGTCTAATGAAACCAAGAGCATTTCTTTCAACCATAAAAAATTGGCCTCATTATTCACGCAGTGTAAACAATGTCAGGTCACTTAACTGCTTCATGGAGAGAAGGTGTGGCTTAAAGTGAAGAATGCCTTAAAGGCAGGTGTGCATAGTTATTAGGCAGCTTTTTGCTGCTGGGAAAATGAGGTGCAAGAGACCTAACAGATGAGAAAAAGGTAAAAATAACTGGCTTTCAGAGGAGGAATACAAAGCTCTTGAGTCCTGATCACCGCACAGTCAAGAGATATGTTAGGGTGAGCCTACAGGAAAGTAAAAATGTGTTGAAAAGAAAATATGCCAATGAACCACAAGAGACTAGAAGTATCCAGGAAACCTTTAGCCTCAAGTGCCATCATCTTCTGCAACTTCAACATTCCTGGACTCCGCAAAAGCACAAGGTGCAAAGATCTGCACATATTGCCATCGTCAGAAAGGCAGAAAATCAGCCTGCCTTGAATAAAAAACACAAGCAAACACATTAAGAATGGACAAAAATACACCTGAAGACAGATTTTTCAAAGGTTTTGTGGATGGATAAGATGAGAAGGATACTGGGTGGACCTGAAGGTGGGCCTGTGGCTGGATTGTCGATCAACATCACACAACTATTCAACTGAAGTGCCAGCAAGACAAGGGAGGGCTGATGATGGGGGCTGGTATTATTGACAGTGCACTGGCCTGACCATTTTGAGTGGAAAATAGGTTGAAAATGAATTCCAAACATTACTCCCAATTTCTGAATGCCACCTTCCTTAAGCAGTGGTGCCAGAAGAAGCCACCATCATTCAAAGGGTCCATGATACTACAGCAAGACAATGCTCCATCCCACACATCACCTGATCTGAACCCAACTGAAATGTGTGGGCCTCCCAAAAAGGGAGCCAAAGAAAGCAGTCAATATTTATGAACAGTGTGTGGGAACAAAGGTGGCTAACACTGGCAAATAAATGTACTTCCACGAGTAAACAAGCTTGTTTTTATTGTTGTTGTGAAACTACAAAATTTATTGCTTTATTTCATCATCTAACTCCATGAAGTCAACTTCTTTATTAGCTTAATACAGTCTAGCTCTGTTTGGGAGTGACTGTGTTAACACACCTTACCTACTTTGCAATACATGGTAGAATGCAAGTAACTTTAGAAAATGAACATTCAGCATTAAATCAACATTTATTTCTACATTTGTGGTAAAGTAGTTTAATGACTTTTCAAAGCACTGAACAGTAATAATTTTTCACAGGCCTCAGCTTCTTTCTGTTAGTTTGCCTTATACTCCTGATCAGTTCCATGCTCAAATGTACTACCAGTAAACTGGGCTGCTGTTGTTCTGTTCAATAATAATGAAGAGGAGGACTAGTGCTGAACAGATAATCATGATGCCAAAGTGTCTGAACAGCACTGAGTCAATGTATTATTCTGGTTGTACACCATAGGCCTCCAAGATGTGGATAAAAGGAACTACACTTCATGACATGTAATCAACAGAGTGAAAGGGACATACTCGTGCTGTCTGTTGATCTCCTCTATGTCTGCGTTCTCTGCGGTGTTGTTGGACTTGCGAGCCTTGTCCAGCTCCTTCTCCAGCTCTGTCCGGTGGGCATTTTTCATGGCTTCAATTGCTTAGAATCCAGACAAAAAGCTTTAATAACCATAATACATGCAGTCTTGTGAAAATCAAATCACATTTTGTAGCATTTAATATAAAGCGACTGTCTTCTGTTTAGTTAAAAGTGCTTTCATCTCTGACGGCATTTACCAGCGATGGTGGCTGCTGTCTCCTCTGCCAGCAGCCTCTCCTTCTCTTCCTGCAGGTTCTCCAGCTCTCTCTGGTGTTTCCTCAGCAGCTCGTCTATCACCTTCTGATGGGACTCCTCCATGGCAGCAAAGCCCCTCTCACAGGTGGCCTGTGACAAAGGTAAACATGGTGCAACTGTGAGATTATAGCTCACCTGGACAGACTAAAAGATTCTCCTGATCACATTAGCAGAGCAGGAGAGATACCTGAGCCCTACAATACAGAGTACAGCGGCTTCAAAAAGTATTCATACTACCCCATTTTTTGCACTTTGCATTGTGTTGTAGATTTCATTTTAAAAGTGCCATGTTTGTGCCATTAAAGCACATTTATAAACATTTTTGCAAATGTATTTAAAAAATCTAAACTTAAAACCTTTCAACTACCACAGTCAGCCGTCCAGATAAACAGTTACCGGGCAAGAAGGGCTGTGATCAGGTACATGACCAAGAACTACCAAGTCACTCTAACAGCTTCAGAGGTCCTGTGTAGAGATGGAGAACCTGTTGGAAGGACGACCATCTCAGCAGCTCTTCATCAAAACAGGCTTTTATGGTAGAGCGGCTAGTCAGAATCCACTTGGAGTCAAAAATCGTAAGAGCTGCTTGGAGTTTGTCAAACAGCATTTAAAGGAATGGGAGCCCGAGGGGAAAAAAAATTCTGGTCAGATGGGACAAAAGCTGAACTCTGTGGGCAGAACTCAATACTAAATCTGGTGAACACCACCCACTGCTCATCACTTGCTAGTACCATCCCTACAGTGAAGCACGGTGGTGCCAGCATCATGCTATGGGGGCTTCTCAGCAGCAGGGACAGGGAGACTGGTTAGAACAGAGGGAAGGATGAATGCAACCACATACAGAGAGGTTCCTGAAGAAAACCCGCTCCAGAGTGCAGAGACCTGATACTGGGGCGGCAGTTCACCTTCCAGCAGGATAATGGCCTGAAGCAAACAGCCAAAACAACAATGGGGTGGCTTCAGGACCAGTCTCTGACTGTTCCTGAGAGGCCCAGCCAAAGTCCAGACTCAAACCCCACAGTTCATCTGTGGACAGACCTGAAGATGGCCCTTCACACAGTGATCCCATCCAGTCTGATGGAACTTGAAAGGATCTGCCAGGAAGACCAGGCCAAGCTGCAGAAATCCATGTATGCATACAGCTTGTAAAGACTTACCCAGAAAGACTGAGGCTGTAACTAACTGTCAGAGGAGCTTCTACACAGTACTGAATTAAGGATCAGAATACTTTTGTGAATGAAAGATTTCAGTTTTTGTTTTTAATAAATTTGCTAATATTTCCAGAAACATGTTTTCACTTCGCTTATCATTATGGGTTACTGATCATAAATGGTAATTTTGGGCATTCAAAATCTTACTGTACAACACAAAGTGTGCAAAAACTGAAGAAATCTGAATATTTTTTTAAGTCACTGTAAGCCAGTTTAGATCATTATTATTTCCAGCAAGTAAGTTTCAAGCTACAGCTTGTTAGCTCTGAGCATGTTGAGCCTGTGTGAACAAAAAGGGTTAAGAGGAATGACAGGATACACAATATGCTGAATGAATATGAAGATGAAAAAGAAAGCTTATGTTGCCATTTCCTATCTCCAGTACAAAACCCACTCATGCTTATAAAATCCTTAATCCAAGATGACCTCATCTTATTGAATAGTGACTATCGACTGCAGCTATTGCAAAAAACCTAATCTGCATACAGGTCACATCTTTGATGGAATGCTGGGTTAAACTAATATACCACTGAATAGCTAGCTGGGTGCCTGAGACATTGGAGTCAAATATATTTTCAGCATAGGCAATTTGTAAGGGCAGCTTTTCAACCTAGCACCTTTGCAATGGTATGCAGAAAAGAGAGCAGAATAAACCTCATCAACACACTTTAAGAAAGAGCCATTATATTGCTATTATAGCTACAGTGCAAGTTTCCACAAGAAAGGATTTAGAGTGGCTTTTCCAATCATCTGACCTAAAATCTAGCCCTGCCATTCAATGCCACTAATCTGTGCACTCAGTCGATGGCTGTGCCCTGGCCTGTGTTTCCTCTCCTCCTCAGCCCAACAGGAAACATCGAGGTCCATTGTGTTTTCAAAGAAATAAAACCCCATGAGGGCTCAGATCCAAGAATCTACTGTGAGAGGGTAAAAAGTCTCCCCAATAAAGCCAATGTAAACTTCCTGCTCTGACATCAGACCGGGCAAAAGCTTTATTTGGAAGCATGTCAGGCTATATATCTTGTGTGTAAATATATCCAAGGTCATGGACTCTCTGCTCAGACATGCCAGATTAAGTTCGCGAAGACATAAGCCAATTATCTCAACATCCAATATGCCATTTAATACACTATTTAACAAATAAAGCTCACTTTTCTCTTATAAACTTATCAAGGTTTGGGTTATTCTCTCAATACCTTCCAAGCTGAACATTTTTTCCATTTCACTAGTGTCAAACCATGAAGCATCAAATTGCTGTTTAAGCTATATAGTAAGTTGAATTTTAAAAAATATTTTTCTTAACAAATCCCATGAAAAGACAAAAATCAATAATGGATGCATCCCACTTTCAAGTATTGTGTGTATTTTCAAAGCCAATACATCTTCCCTCTCTGCCACAGAGCTCCACTGGGTAGAAAAATTATTAAAAACACATCAGTGAGCCACACTGTTGCAGCAGGTGACAAAGAAATAAATAAATTAATTAAATCTTATAGTAAGGTGCTGTGCCACCAGCACAGCTTCAGTGCACCTCGACTCTCCAAGTCACTGAGCTCTACTGGAAGGATGAGCACCATTCTTCCAAAAGATATTCCCTCATTTGGTGTTTTGATGATGATGGCGGAGACACTGTCTAACACTTCGCTCCAAAATCTCCCATAGGTTTTCAACTGGATTGAGATCTGGTGTCTGTGAAGGCCACAGCGTATGATTCATGTCATATTCATCAAACTATTCAGTGACTTGTTGTGCCCTATGATGGGGTCATTGTCAACTTGGAAGAGACCGGTCAGTTATTCAGGTGTTTCCATTTGTCCATAAATATTGAGTAGTAACCAATGGGCTTAAGACTGAGTGCTATAGACAGATTAGGGAAGTCAGAAAGTATCGAGAGACAGTCTGAAGCATTGTTGATTTTGGTCTCTTAATGGGATTTGTTGAGAGAAGTATAGAATAACACCAGCATTACCTCTTGAATGCACAAAGGTTGATAATACATTAATAAATTAGAGATTCAGTTCTCTCAAATAATAAGAAAAACGTTTCTCACATACCCCTTATTGTGACCAGCCATGCAGACAGTTTGATTTACAGAGGTTTTGACATATGCATAGCTCAAACTTTTGCAATTACCCGAATAAAACAGTGAATAGGCTTTCATTTGTGATACATGAAGCACTGAAAATTTTAAGTAGAAAACAGCTGCTTGTTTTCCCACCAACAATGTTACTGAGAATGTTTTATCAAAAGTAAAAAAAAAATGCTGTAAACTGTCTACAGTGTACACCATTATGTTTTGGATCATAGTAAATAAACAGGATATTGTTTTTGGAAAGAGACATTTCTGTAGAGTTTCTATTAAAAACCATTACTCTGTGCTTTGACAACACCAGCAAAATTCCTTTCACCTCCACTGCACTGGGAGAAACCTCAATAAATTAAACCAACCGTGCTTGACCAAATACCATGTATTTTTGTTAGTTGGGTGAACTGACCCTTTATTGTGACAAGAAATATGAATGTTTTAGCTTGAAAGACTAACCCTGACTTTGTGAATAGTAGTTTGACAAAAATAGTCTGACTCAAGGTCTGCTTACTAGCTTTTTCCACAACTGCATCTCATTTCCTTGATCAGCAAAGTTATTAGCTCAGTTGCCACAGAGATGTCCTGTACATGACCACTTCCTGTGATCGAAGTTTGATACACAGGTCATATGATGCAACTGAGTCAACAACGTGAGATGGCTTTGAAGCCTCTAGAAAAAGCTACTAAGAAGCTGAGTTAAACTCACTTAATTTAAATGTTACACCACCAAATGATATTCAGAGAAAGTAGGGGATTATAACTGAACTGTTAGTAGAAACAGAAAAGGGAACAAAGATCAGAATCTTACAAATTATTAGCATAGCCACAAAATGATAATTGGCTATGTGAATTCTGATTATTCATTAATGCTAAAAAAAAAAAAAGGGTCAATTCTTTGAACTTGCTGCGTAGCTGAGCCAAAATTAATAAGCACATTGAACTATCAACAGAGGAACTCATTTCATAGCAAAGTAGGATAATATGATGTGGAGCTAGCTTCTGTTCACTATGGCTAATAAAATGTATCGGTAACTAGAAGGTCTACATGTGGTACTGATGAAGCCTCAACAAAATGGGTTCCTCGGTACACAACTACTGCATCAATGATCACACAAACCTAATGGTAGTTTACAGTACATGCAACATAGAAGAAAAGTGATTTACAGAACAAAGAGCGAAAGTAGGGTGAGCTAGGTTAGTTAGGGTAGTAGGAGCTGGGGAAGGAAGGGGGGTCTGGGAATGCCACAGAGGAACACAAGGCATCACAGATGGAGGACGGCAAGGACAGGGAGCACTTCCACCTTCAGGTTTTCCAGGTCTTTCTCATATTTCAGCCGTAGAGTTGTAATGTCACCCTGCTCTTCGCGTCGTCTCATCTCTTCGGTCATGACTGATACTTGGGTCACGAGCTCTTGAATGCGCTCCTTCAGGGTTAGGGTTTGGGCCAAGGTGTGATGTGACGTGCTGCTCTGATCTGTTGAAACCCTGTCTGGGTTTACCGGATTCATCATGCTTCTCAGATCTTCCATTTCCCTTTCAAACTGCTCCAGTAGGGTTTTCCTTTCCATTTCATGCTTCTTTTTGAGGTTCTGCATGCAGTTTGTCAATGAGTCAATCTCTTTCACATTTTCTTCTGAGCGGAGACGCAGTGTCTCACTGGCCTTTGCAATTTCCTGCCTCAACTTTTCAGCTTCCCGTTCGTAGCCATCTTTGACCTCTCGTAGCTCCTTCCTATGGCATGCTATCATGTCATGAAGCTCAATGGTTTTATCCAGTGAGTCAATGGGCGCCCCTTCAATCTGGATCAAAGTCTGTGGCCCTGTAGCGGTTTTCAAAGAAGCCTCATATAGCTGACTCTGAAGCTCCGCTAATCTATACTGGAGATCAGTGGCAATTTCTCTTAATTTAGGACAATTTGGACAGTCTGAACTACCAATCTGAATGTTTATCTGCTTTTGCTTGAGCTCTTTCTCATGTTGGACCTTTAGCCTAATGATCACATAAGACATGTACGCTTCTTTGAGAGCTTCAAGCAGATATTCAGACTCTTTCTGTTTATGATCATGCTCATGATGAAAGCTTGCTAGAGCCAAAGACAGAAGCTTGTCATCTTTGTCCAGTTTCACACTGGACGCAATCTGCTTCAGACCATTTGACTTTGCCTTCAAGGTCTCTGTTAGCTTTTTAAGAATTAGAGCATTTGTGTCATTATTAAGCCAGCTATACATGGATTCAAAATTTGTCTCTGTCACTTCTTCACTCTCAATTTTTGTTTGTGGACATATCCTACCAATCAAGAGCATCAAGTGCTTCTGTGCCATCATTTGTTCTGCCACCTTTCTCCCACAGATATGTCTGTTTTCTTCTGGTTTTGCTTCAGTGGTTCCCAACAGCTGGCTCCAAAACTCTCCCTCAACTACCAAACTCTTGTCTTGTTGACTCACACACTGTGACTCTTCTTTCCAAGAATCAAATAAAGTGCTTTTTAAATCACTGAGCATTCTCTTTACATTAACATCTATCTTTGCCAACATCTCTACAACCTGATCAATTGCCTCAGACTTCAACTCAATCTCTTTTATTACTTGCGTTACAAGTCCTTTTTCATCAACCTGCTTCTCTCCTGACTCAACACTCTCACTACCTGTAATCAATTCTAACTTCTCTTGTAGCTTTTTTACTTTGTTTTCTGCTTCAGTTAGCTTCTCTCTACTGACTTTTTCAGATTCCCGGTTCAGTGTGATTAATTCGCAATTCCTCGCTTCCAGTTCTATACGGCGCTGTTCTGCAGAGTGAAGGTTTGTCTCCGTCTCAAGTAACTTTGCTTGTGAGGCTTCCAGTAGCACTTTGAGTTGCTCTTTCTCTGGGTGTAACTCCTCATCCTCATAATCTGTCTGAAAGCCCAGACCTTTCAGCGTGGCCTCTTTCAACTGCAGCTTCTTTTCAGTATCTTTAAGCGTGTTGCCAAGCTCCTCCAACATAACCAGAGCTTCATGGAGCCTCAAGGATTTCTCATTCAGCTCCCTCTCATAATACTCCCTGTCTATGGCAGTAGCTTGGTTTTCAGCCAGTTCTGCCTTCAGTCTTTTCAGCTCTTCAACAACCAGATGATGCTGACTGCTCCCCTGCTGGCTGATGAGCTCGGCTTTCAGTCTGTCTATTTCTCTGTCAGCCTCAGTCAATTGGTTCACTATCTCCTGACATCGTCGTTTCAATGACCCATTTTCATTTGTTAAAAGTTCAACCCTCTGAGAGAGCATTGCAATTGTCACCTCATTTGTCTCTGAATGATTTTCAATTTTTGAGAGGGGGCTGTAGAGGCTTTTTTGTTTCTGAACCTTCCCCACCAAATCTTCCATAGTTAGGAGACGGGCTTCATAATCACGGATGCTTTCTCCTGCCCTGGCTAAACTCTTTTTTATTGTTTCATTTTCTATCTCCTGTTGGTCCTTCCAAGTTTCCAAGAGCTTCTTAAGTTGATACTTCTCTGTTGTCTCTTGATTACAACTATGGGATTTCAAAGGTTTCCCCAGCTCTGTTAAAGTAAGAGGTTCAGTAGTTATTAAGTCTTTTAGTTCTTGAATTGCCTCTTTGCTGTCCTGGAGCAAGAAGCTAACTGTTTGTTGGACAGATTCAGGAGAAGGGACTTCCAGAATAGATTGTTTTGGGGGTTCAGAAAAGTAAGATTCCATGGGCAGGTGAGAAAGTGAGAGGCCAAGCTGTGCCTGCATACTGCGCTTTTTCAGCTCTTGCAGCTTTAGGAGCTCTTTGGTCTCCTGGTACTTCTTTGTTAAACTCTGTGCCTGAGAACTAACCAGTTCGGGCCTCTTCGTCTGGGGCGTCACATCAGCCTCCAGACCCAAAGGGTGCTCCAGCTTGGAAAAGGGGACCAAACAGTTGGTTAACACACAGCAGGGGAGACACAAAGCTTGCTAATAATTCTCAGGGTTATCTACCAATCATTTCCCTCTAATTTATATTAAAAATACCATTACAACTAGCATTCCCAACATGATAATCCCAAATAATGTAAACAAAACAGTGATTGTAAACATATTCAAAGTTCCCTTAGATTTAATGGTGTAAACTAAAAGCAAAGGAAAGATTTAATGGCTGGGGTTAGTTAATCACAACAGAGCATGCACATTAAATGATTAAAAGTTACTTCATGTAGTAAGTAATGCAATATTAGTTTCAGCTGGATGGTTTACTCAAGGATGGAAGGCACACCAGGTCCTACAAACACATTTCTGTAGTTCTCTGGTCCAATCTCATGTCTTGCACCAAAGCAATTCTTTTCTGAGTGAAAATAGTGAATTGTATTACTCAACTTAAGTCTAATGTTCAAGTGTATTTTCAGATTTTCTCTATAGTTCATTGCAAGTCACTGATATACTGTACTTCTAAAACATAAAGCTGCACAAATACTGCATAATGTATATCCTAACAATCACAGTGATGCCTAAAGTTAACTCAAACAAAAACAAGCTAAAAACTATTCATTCAGCCCCACTCTGGCAAATCCATCCATACATGACACACAAGCACAGAAATTAATCCAACATCATACATTTACCTATACATAGCTATAAATGACATTTGTTAACAGAATAACTGATAGATGGTCTGTATAGCAGTTAATAGAAGATGAGAATCTGGCATCCATGCAAATTAGACAACAAGGCAAGAGGTTATTACTCATACATGTTCAGTCAAACATTTCAACAAGTAAAACTATTATGCCAATGGCTACAAAGGACATCATCATTCTAAATGACAATTTAAGAAGAATTAAGAAGAAAGTAAATAGCTATTTTAGTGAACTGCTAGAAGGCTCTAACTGAAAATTAGTCAGGAAGCTAAAACAAACAAAAAAGATATTTGAAATTGACATAATGGTTCTTTTAAAAGAAAAGGTAAACCTTAAAACATAAAATTGAAAATAAAAACTTTCAAAACAATTTTTCAAATTTTAATAAAAAATAAATTTGAATTCCCTTTATTTTAGCCACTTTAACTGTATGTAAATAAGGAAGCATAGACATCACATCAGAAAATGAGTATGTCAGTTGAAAATAGATGCACGTGAGAAAAATTTTAACACATTAAACTTTTCAGGGTATTTTCCAGTGATACTGCCATTTTGTTTTCCATCTTCTTGTTCAGCTTTTCAGATTCATTCATTTTCCTTATTTATCTCATAAAAAGGCAAAAAATGAACAGCATACTGAATGGTCAGAATTTGATTCTGATATTCTAACTTAAATGTCCATTTTGAAAGTGCCTTTTAATAAATACAGTTTGTCATTTTAATTTCATTATAACCTTTTCTATTTTCCTATTCCTTTTGCATTCTGTTGTAGCCTGAGTGGCTAGCTAAAAGCTAAGTCATTTACAATTTTTTCTTTTAGAGTGAAATTATCCTCCAAAAGTCACATTACCAACCACTAAATTGCTGTTCATAGTCAACGCGACGCTCAAGTAACTACTACCATGAGTCCAGACATTGTACAGATCTATAACACAGAGAGAAGACATTCACTAGTAGAAGCCAATTTAGTAATAAGATCTGTTTTTCTCATGCAATGACCTCATGCAAGGCACATATCTGTAGCAACTTTGATGCTTCAGTGTCAGTTTGTTTCATGCTTTTATTTACAATAAAATACAACATGCAAAGAATGTTACAACATGAAGGGGAAAATACTGCTCAATTACAAATATACGCATGAAATCTACTACAGAACTTCCCATCATAGCAGAGGAACATACAATACAATGCGGCTGCTCACTGAACACAACGAGACCAATAACTCACCGGAGAGATGTACCCTGTGCGGATGTCCTGCTCTCTCTCCAGAGCTGTTCTCAGCTGGAGCTCCAGCTCCTGCTTGTGTTTGCCGGAGTCCAGAAGCTGCTGGTGACAGCTCTCTAACTGCGCCTTGAGGTCTTCTATCTGCAGGGGCAGCATGGACAATTCTGATTAGCTAATAAAGGATGTGTTTAAATATAACAATGTAGTTGATTTTTATGGTATCCACGATATCCACACTCTGGGCTTTGAGAAACTGTGACATCACATTTTTCTGACTTTTTATTGTACACAAAATTTATCAATGAATAAAGTAAATAATCTGTAGATTGAAGATACAAATAACTGTTAGTTGTAGCCCTGAATCTGAGAGAACTGTAGGATGGTGTTAAGATGGTGAGCACAGACTTCTGCTTCCACCTAGGATCTAAAGAGTTACAATTCTTCCCTACATATAATAGATAAACATACCCCTTGCTTGTAATTTTCCAACAGCCGCTCCAGCTCTGCAGTCTCCATAGACTGCACTGTGGTGGGCAGAGGCACCCTCCTCTCCTCCCGTATAGGTGTTTCTTCCACCTGTCGCCAGTGTTGTTCAATCACCTCCTCCACCTTCTGCCGTCTCTCCAGAGCCGTGGAACCTAATGAATCTGTGTGTACAACTCCGTCTGCTCTGTCATAGTCTGTCCTCACTCCTGTATGCTCTGCCGATGAGCTAGTGACAGTCTCATACCTCTTTCGCCTCTCCTCTCTCCTCCGGCTCCTCTCGAGCTCTCCCAAGTCTTCCTGGAGGCTCTTGGCCTCTTGTGCCCTCTGCTGAGCCAGAGCCTGAGCGATGGGTCTGAACTCTGCCCAGTCGAATGTCTTAGACCGGCCTTCCCGTCTACGTTCACGTGCCCGGCTCTTAATGATGCCTGTATTGGATTCTCTCTCCACACATGAGGGTTCAGAAGAGTCCTGGGTGACATCTGGTCTAACAAGACCCTCCAAAGGAGAGAAGGAGCCATGGTCCTCATGTGAACTGGAAGGCAGAGAAAAAGGTCGGCAACTAAGTTTTAGTTTCAAAGTGCTGATTTTCCATGTTTAAAATGATACAATTAAATCTCAGAATCCAAGCCCCCAGTGTCCACCGGATACAGCTCCATCACAGTTGTCAGAAATGTGTATAATTTGAGCTTGCCAACTTGTTTCTGAGGCCTGAAATTGAATTTTTTTTGTTGTTTGGCTGTTTTTTTGCTTGTAGATGTGACAGAACAGCAACGGTCATATCATGTTACCAGTTTAAACCATCAGCTGAGTTATACTGTAGATCATTACTGCAAATATATGTAATACTATTGAAGTGACTGTATTGACCTTGCCACATCAGGGGCAGTGGAGGGTCTGACGTTCTTCATCACTGCCTGGATCCAGTTCCTGCGTATACCTGCTGTCATGGCCGACAAGGTATGCACTCCCTCCTGTGTCTAAACATGTAAAAATACAATGAGATGTCAACTGTGCCACAAAGAAAAATATAAACCCTGTATGTATTGCAATACAACAGCTCTGTAATTAAAAATTCATTTTAAAAGTTTTGTTTTTGTTTAGCCTTTGGCTTGGGTGTTATGGCAGTGTGTACCATAAGATGATATAAACTGTATGGCAATATCTGTGATGGTAGATACATTTATGCAGTGTATGCAGCTATGCCTTTGATACTTTTGGACGCTTTAGGCCATTGTAGTACTGCTGTAGGACATACTGAACCTTTATTTGATATTTGTATTAATATGATGATGTGCCTTGTTTGTCAGCTGACGGTGAAACCCAAACTACAGCTAACAAAATGACTACACTGTTTCCTCTGTGACAATATGCCAGCAGCAATTAAACCATGACATTTTCACAGTGTATTTATTAGAAGACTACTGTGTTAGACAATACTACAATGTATAAAAAGCTTTTACTTGAAAACATCACGGCTATGCGGGTATAGATATAATATTGTCCTAAACTAATATAAATCCCCAAATAAATGAACATACAGAGTAAAAACATTTCTCCTTCATGACAAGGGAAGACCTCTTACATGGATTTGGAAACCATAATTGCGTTGGGCCTGGTATTCAGTTACATTGTAGCAGGTAGACAGGTCGATCTCACCATCCAAGTCAGAGGCCTGAAGTAACACAAGGATCACAAACATGAAATACTGCATCACTGAGTACTATTCAATATAAAAAAAATATGCAATGATATAGAAATAAAACCAGTAACCTCACCTCCTCTGCAATGGAATCCTTGTAGTATCTCAGGCTGTGATCCGTCAAAACAAACCAGTATTTCTTCCACTGCAACATGGAAATGCAAAAACACAGAATGGGCTATAAAGCAGCCACTCACAACTACACAGCATGTTAAAGATGTGTGGTAGTTGCCACATACTGTAAGAGACATCCAGTCAGTCAGAGAAACTGGCTCTACGTGGCAGCAAAGTTTGCCTGTCTGTATATAATATAGATGTGTTTTGGAGCCTGCAGACTCCACCCTTGTCTTTTAGGTCCATTGAAGATATAAGATCAAAGTCTGGCCACACCTCTGTAAAGGCCATAGACATTCAGGAGTGCTTTAGGTGGACAGTTCAGATGCTGTTTGAACTGGCTTCTGACTCTCTTTTTGGTGACTCCAACACTCCTTTAATAGGTGCTTTTAGTGTGAAACTGTACTATCATATGTTTATTTTAGAGATGCACCGATTGCAATTTCCTTTCTATCCAAGAACTGCCAACTGGCCCAGCCAGACTCTGGACCTGAACCCATTAGAATATCTCTGGAGTGACCTGAAAATGGCTGTGCGCAAATGATCCCCATCCAACCTGGTTTACCTGGAACAATTCTGCCAAGATGAACAGAAGAAAATTCCAATAGAAAGGTGTTAAGCTTGCAGCTCCATTCTCAAGAAGACTTGAGGCTGTCATTGCTGCCAAAGGTGCTTTTCTGAATACTTATGTAAATGGTATATTTCAGTCTTTCATTTTTAATACATTTTCAAAACACCTGAAAAACATTTCACTATCATTGTGGAGTACTGTGTGTAGATTGATGAGGACATTTTTTTTTTAAATGAATCAATTTAAAGGCGAGTCTGAAAGATAACAAAATATGGAAAACTTGAAAGGGTCTGAAAATTTTCCATACCAACTGTACACATACAGTCAGGGACAAAATGATTTGAACCCCAGCTGATTTTGTAAGTTTGCCCACTAACAAAGAAATGATCAGTCTACAATTTCAATGGTAGGTTTATGTGAACAGTGAGAGACACAACAATAACAAAAAAAAAAATCCAGAAAAATGCATTACAAAAAAAGTTATAAAGTAATTTGCATTTTCATGAATGAAATAAGTATTTGATCCCTTTGCAAAATGTGCTTTAGTCTTTGGCGGCAAAACCTTTGTTGGCAATCTCAGAGGTCAGACATTTCTTGTAGTTGGCCACAAGGTTTGCACACATCTCAGGGGGGATTTTGACCCACTCCTCTTTGCAGATCCTCTCCAAGTCATTAATGTTTCGTGGCTGATGTTTGGCAACTCGAACCTTCAGCTCCCTCCACAGATTTTCTATGGGATTAAGGTCTGGAGACTGACGAGGCCACTCCATGACCTTAATATACTTCTTCTTGAGCCAATCCTTTGTTGCCTTGGCCGTGTGTTTTGGATCATTGTCATGCTGGAATACCCAACCATGACCCATTTTCAATGCCCTGACTGAGGGAAGGAGGTTCTCACCCAAGATTTGACGGTACATGGCCCCATCCATCCTCCCTTTGATGCGGTGCAATTGTCCTGTCCCCTTGGCAGAAAAACACCCCCAAAGCATAATGTTTCCACCTCCATATTTGACGGTGGGGACAAACACGGCGTGTTGAGTTAATGCCAAAGAGCTCGATTTTGGTCTCATCTGACCACAACACTTTCACAACATGACCCATGTGGCCCTTGGACCCAAAAAGAACAATTTTACTCTCATCAGTCCACAAAATGTTCCTCCATTTCTCTTTAGGCCAGTTGATGTGTTCTTTGGCAAATTGTAACCTCTTCTGCACGTGCCATTTTTTTAACAGAGGGACTTTGCGGGGGATTCTTGAAAATAGATTAGCTTCACACAGACGGCTTCTAACTGTCACAGTACTTACAGGTAACTCCAGACTGTCTTTGATCATCCTGGAGCTGATCATTGGGCTTGGCGATGGTCTTGTAGCCCATTCCAGCCTTGTGTAGGTCCACAATCTTGTCCCTGACATCCTTGGAAAGCTCTTTGGTCTTGGCCATGGTGAAGAGTTTGGAATCTGGATTGATTGATTGCTTCTGTGGACAGGTCTCTTTTATACAGGTAACGAGCTGAGAGGGCTCCCAATGTCAGCTCGATCAAATACTTATTTCATTCATGCAAATGCAAATTACTTTATAACTTCTTTTGTAATGCATTTTTCTGGATTTTTTTGTTGTTATTGTTGTGTCTCACTGTTCAAATAAACCTACCATTGAAATTGTAGACTGATCATTTCTTTGTTAGTGGGCAAACTTACAAAATCAGCTGGAGTTCAAATCATTTTTTCCCTGAATGTATATTTCATGCATAGCCAGTAATACCCTCATTGTGCACTATGTGCAATTTCAACATGGGTTACCCTTATCCAAGGTGTTTCTGTAGGCTCCTCTGTGAGCTGCTTCCAACACGTGAGTAAACACATGCTCAGTATAGATGTGTGAAAGGCTCGCACAAATGCACATTAGATGCTACACACTGCACGTTATGCTCTCAGTCTGTGCCACTGTGTGCACAACGTGGACCATCATGCATGTAAATATGACTGGCTCAGAATCGGATATCTTAGAGTGACTGGCCGGTCACCGGTCATGGCTGATCAAGCTAAAACCAGCCAATTCCAATCTCCAGGCGATCAATCGGTGCATCTCTAGTTTATTTCCTCCTCTATGTCAATCTGTGTAGATGATTCAAAGATTGTGCAGAATGACCTTTTCCTTAAAACTCAAAATGTTTTTGCTTAAATGACAAAATAAATATTTGACTGTATTCATCAAATTCTCATTTAGAGTCATCTGACTGGTTCTCACACACAAACACACACAGAAGGTCACCACTTAATAGTACCTGGCCTTGCTCATCCAGCTTCACCATCCAACCCTTCTTGAAATTCAGTAAATCCGGCTTGAAAAAAAAAAAAGATAAAGATATTGAAAAATTTCCTGTTTGAAATAGGGTGTCAAAAGCTCAACATAGAAAATGACTTAAATACAAATACAAACAAGGTCATTTTTCAGTCTGAAAGCAATGCAGTAGATTGCCACCACTTATCCTTAAAATTGTACAATAAAGCAGACTAAATTTTCACCCAAAATGTGGCCAGACAGTAGCCAGGCATTCCTAATGACACTGGCAATGTGTCAAATTTGAGTACAAAATCACACTGTCATTATTCAAAAATCAAGAGTAGCAAAAACACGTGCCCACTCATTCAGTTGATGAGAGAAGCTGACCCTACCAGTGGATGGAACTAATTAAAGGCTGAGGATGCAAGATTATTTGAAAGTTGACCACTGGTTGGGGGGCAACTTCTGCCAGATGTGCTGTTGTTCTGTGCTAATCCAGCTGAGGATGCAGAGGCTAGTGCCCAGAGCTGCTGTAGTCTGCTGTGATTCACACAGTGGGAGAACCACTACTATACACAGACACACACACACACACGTGAAGAGTGACTTCAGGAAGCAGTGGTAAGATGTGATATGCACGTACTCGTGCGTGCGCACACACCTGTCAATTTAACTGGTATGAAATAACACACATGGCATAGAATGCTTGCAGTGAATCCACTCAGCGGGTAAGATCTGCACACAGAGGGAGCAGAACAAGGAGTATAACCTGGAGAGGAGACGACACTGCAGGTTTGGCTTATAACATTCACACCCTCGCACTGCCACACCAAGGCCAAAAAAGGCAATTTTAACCACAACAGAAATCATGCACAGATGTCAGGCCTTCTCACACCGAATTTGAACCAGGATAACTAACAGTCCTACAATCTAAGAGCGTTAAGAAATGTTCCTCACTGAAAGGTCAAAGGTCAGAACTGGAGGTTTAAATGTTTATTTAGTAGTTCTCCCAGTAAACCCCAGGAAAAAGTGCTTTCAAAAGCTTTATGCAACACAAGTGGTATGCTGTAGTTGGGTGCATTCCACAGAGACCTTTCTCAGTGTTGAACTCTCCTCTAACTCCTCCTAGCTCTCTGTTACCTAACTGAATCTCAGACACAACAACAACCCAGCAACCTCTCTCCACTTGGCTGAAGTCTTGGCACTGATGCTGCCCCTGCAGCTTAGCAGGAACAGGAGAGGCTTGGTCTCTGACACCAGAGACACACTGAAACACAATGGCCTTCAAGAGTGTTAGTTAATGCCAGAACTGTCAGATTGAATTTTAACTAAACTTGATCACCAGCTGATTGAATCTCCTGTGCCTCAGGCCCCAGGATCCTTCTCTCTCATTATTTTGTTTGTCTGATGTGAAGACTGTGTCCTGGTTTCAGGTGTAGAGCTGAAATGAATCAATTAACTGTCTTACAGAAAATTTACTAAATATCAGTTACCCACGAAAGAAAGTCGAGCTTTTAGCATCTAGTGATTCTGATATATCTAAAAGCAAAAACAGAGCTAACAGGAGAATGAATATCAGATTTCCATTTGTCAAGCGTCAGAAATGTGACTAAGTATCAGGGGTGTGCGATATTGACAAACAATTGGTATCTGGATATTTCTGGGAATTTTGCTGATCACACAGACAATATTTTGCATCTAAAATGCATCAAAAATGTGTTAACATCTCATATTGTATTTAGTTGCTCTTGTTAATAGTAGGGCTGTACTCGACTAAGGATTTTGTCAGTCAACTACCAGTCAGCTCTTCAGTGTGACTGTATGTTCTTTTTCTTTCTTTTTTAAATTATATGTATAGAGCCTAGACTGCCAGAAAATCAACCAGCATGAATTTCAGTGATGATGATGATGATGATGATGATGATGATTTCAACCATATTAATATTGGTATTTAAATGCAAAAGAGTGACAGGAACATATTTCTGAGGATTTAAAAATCAATTGTGAAATATTTAAACTGACAATATATGATGCCGGGCTGCCATATGGATTTGTAAGAATGAGACAGGCAACACAACTGTATTTCTGTTGAAACAATGCTTATAGGCTGGTTTTTCTTCTGGGACTAGGTTATAGCCTAGTTTACCAACAAATTTAGGCCTCTCCTGTCAATTACCCACAGCGCATGTTGTTACTGTGCAGTTGATGTGTGCCATGTTGCACTGCCAACAATTCTTATTTAATTCAATTCATCCATCCATTCCATGCATCCTGACGAGGGTTGCAGGGAGGCTGGAGCCAATCCCAGCTGACAGTGGGGGAGAGGCGGGGTACACCCTTGACACATCGCTAGTCTTAATTCCATTCAATTCAATTTTATTTGTCTGTTTTGTCCCTAGTAGCCCAAAAACTGTCTGATGTAGCTTGTACATGAGAGACAGGAGAGCCTACCTCTCCTTTAGACTTACTCACACACACACACACACAAAACACCTTGGGCTAAACATCAATGGCTGACTCTGGGTTTCTTTACAAAATTAGCAATATTGTGTTACACATGTAAATTGCCCAAAGCAGCTTCCAGGACTTCCATTACTATAAACATGATGCACACAAACACACTCACTGTCATTATGGACTCCGTGGTCCTTCTATCCAGGGACTTCGCTCTCCTCAGAGGGGGCAGTGTAGAGGGGAAATCCATTCCCTGGTCCCCGTCACGCCTCTGTTCCTAAACAACACACACATAAACCCACCTAAGGCTTTCAACATTGTTTTTACTCCTAGGTAAAGCAAATTAACTCTGACTGTTATAGTTAAATATACAGCATTTTAAACAACAAAACATAAAACACCAGCTCCTTTCATGTATGCCAGAGTCAACATATGAAATACAATAATCAAAGGCCATTTATAATGCATTATGCAATTTGGTCTGTTATTAATGTGCTGTGGAGAAATGTCATGACAACTGCTCATTTTTTGAAAAACACACATACAGAGTCAGTGATAGCATGAGGCCAAAGCTGCCAGTTCTAAACCTGTGTGTTGTTTAAAATAGTCAAAATAGTACAAAATAAGAATAGTACAAAAGAATACACGTTTGACAGTGTCTGAATCCAATGGTATGTGTTACTGTGTTGAGTCTCTGTGTTCCTAAAGTCAGATTAAGGGCCGTTCTATCCGAGCACAGAGGGCCAGGGTGGGAAAGAGAACCATAATCACTTGGGGAATCCCACCACAGAATGGAAACTGGAAATGAATACAGTACACAGTTCTGACCCCTGACCTACAACCAAAACAAAGACAGGACAGAGAGAGGGAGAGATGAAGGGAAGAGGGTGAGGGTGAAGGGAAAAGACAGAGGAGGAATGGGGGAGGCACTGGGAGAGAGGAATACAAAAGCAAAACCCACGCTGATAGGTCCAGCGCTGCGCTCACATCTGTTCTGTGATGTTTAAAAACCCTGTTTACAGGTCTCTCCATATCTATTGTACAGCTGTACAATGTCGGTACTGTTGGCCTGAAGGTACAATGTCACATTCATGTGCAAACACAGCAGCATTACCTCTCTGTGGAAGCGTCTGTGCTCGCTTCGGCCCTGTCTGGCTCCGCTCCTTCCTGACTCTTCCACCTCCATTTTCTCTGGATTCTCCAGCTCCAAGGCCTCCAACTTCTCAATCACACCGGAGCGACTGCATTATCAGCACACAAACATGCACACACAGTTAAGGTAAATGTATAATCCTGTCAGTATTCCTTCCACAGTACTCTGTTCTACATTGCTATATCTTCCCTGGATCTGTGAGGAATAGTACAAGCAGAGCAGGCACAGTGAGCTGTAGATACTGCACTTTCTGGCAACTAGTACACTTTAACATAGACTCAAAAAAACAACAAAAACAACTTCTAGCTGTGCTGTGGTTTTAGTTATTCAAGGCTCAGCTTGGCTCAAGTATCCCCACCATTATTGAATAATAGCAACAATTTACTCGCTGTACCAACTGCCAGCTGTCAAAGGAGTTAACTTCAGGCAAGACACCCTGGAGGAATCAAAGCCTGTTTTACTTGTGAAGTCAAGGGTGAGTTCATCAGCTGAATCAACAAGGTGACTAAAATGCCAAGGTTAAGAACCACAACATTATGCAATGTGGTGAAACTGTGCGGTCACCCGTTCATAAAGTTGATGACATTCAAATGATTGGCATTAGAGCTATGTATGCTAAATTAAACATTTCTGAAAACATTTCTGCTTCTGGAAGATCTGAACGTTTAAAAACACTGCACCACAGATGGGAAAAGAAAAACAAACAGCCCACACTCAGCAGCGTCCATCTGCAACCTTCCTCAGTCTGTGACACAGTACACCACCAACGCTAACATGTTCCCACACAGACCACTGTTAAATAAAAGAGGAATCAGCATTAGAACAAGGAAGAAGGTGAGAAGTAGTAGGAAATATTACATTACTCTTGTCTAAATGTTACCTTTTCTTAGGGTCTTTTCAGGCAGGGTTGCCATCTTTAAAAGGAAAAGGACAAGGGAGGCCACGGTATCAACTTTTTTTTTTTTATCAGAAGCTCAAATCAAACTGTCAGACCACAGATCTGACAGGGTCTACTCACAGACCTGCTAAGTGAAGTTTTGTTCCAACTGACCATTGGGGAACTCTTCCCCTCTCTCACTGTTTTTCCATCTGGAAGTAAAATACACACTAGGTCTGAATTGTAAGTGATATCTGAAGCAGCCTTATAAGCAAAAAAAGTGCATGACTATGGTAGACCATAAAGGGTCATTTAAACCTTTTTCAGACATGGAACATTGCTGGCATCATACAGTGGGTACAGAAAGTATTCAGACCCCCTTAAATTTTTCACTCTTTGTTATATTGCAGCCATATGCTAAAATCATTTTTTCCTCATTAATGTACACACAGCACCCCATATTGACAGAAAACACAGAATTTTTGACATTTTTGCAGATTTATTAAAAAAAGATAAATTGAAATATCACATGGTCATAAGTATTCAGACCCTTTGCTGTGACACTCATATATTTAACTTAGGTGCTGTCCATTTCTTCTGATCATCCCTGAGATGGTTCTACACCTTCATTTGAGTCCAGCTGTGTTTGATTATACTGATTGGACGTGATTAGGAAAAGCCACACACCTGTCTATATAAGACCCTACAGCTCACAGTGCATGTCAGAGCAAATGAGAATCATGAGGTCAAAGGAACTGCCTGAAGAGCTCAGAGACAGAATTGTGGCAAAGCACAGATCTGGCCAAGGTTACAAAAAAAAATTCTGCTGCACTTAAGGTTCCTAAGAGCACAGGGGCCTCCATAATCCTTAAATGGAAGACGTTTGGGACGACCAGAACCCTTCCTAGAGCTGGCCGTCCGGCCAAACTGAGCTATTGGGGGAGAAGAGCCTTGGTGAGAGAGGTACAGAAGAACCCAAAGATGACTGTGGCTGAGCTCCAGAGATGCAGTCGGGAGATGGGAGAAAGTTGTAGAAAGTCAAAGAAAGTCAACCATCACTGCAGCCCTCCACCAGTCGGGGCTTTATGGAAGAGTGGCCCGACGGAAGCCTCTCCTCAGTGCAAGACACATGAAAGCCTGCATGGAGTTTGCTAAAAAACACCTAAAGGACTCCAAGATGGTGAGAAATAAGATTCTCTGGTCTGATGAGACCAAGATAGAACTTTTTGGCCTTAATTCTAAGCAGTAGGTGTGGAGAAAACCAGGCACTGCTCATCACCTGTCCAATACAGTCCCAACAGTGAAGCATGGTGGTGGCAGCATCATGCTATGGGGGTGTTTTTCAGCTGCAGGGACAGGACGACTGGTTGCAATCGAGGGAAGGATGAATGCGGCCAAGTACAGGGATATCCTGGACGAAAACCTTCTCCAGAGTGCTCAGGACCTCAGACTGGGCCAAAGGTTCACCTTCCAACAAGACAATGACCCTAAGCACACAGCTAAAATAACGAAGGAGTGGCTTCACAACAACTCCGTACCTGTTCTTGAATGGCCCAGCCAGAGCCCTGACTTAAACCCAATTGAGCATCTCTGGAGAGACCTGAAAATGGCTGTCCACCAACATTTACCATCCAACCTGACAGAACTGGAGAGGATCTGCAAGGAGGAATGGCAGAGGATCCCCAAATGCAGGTGTGAAAAACTTGTTGCATCATTCCCAAAAAGACTCATGGCTGTATTAGCTCAAAAGGGTGCTTCTACTAAATACTGAGCAAAGGGTCTGAATACTTATGACCATGTGATATTTCAGTTTTTCTTTTTTAATAAATCTGCAAAAATGTCAAAAATTCTGTGTTTTTCTGTCAATATGGGGTGCTGTGTGTACATTAATGAGGAAAAAAATGAACTTAAATGATTTTAGCATATGGCTGCAATATAACAAAGAGTGAAAAATTTAAGGGGGTCTGAATACTTTCTGTACCCACTGTATCTGAAGCTTTTAGTTGTCCACACAGCTGTGCTATTATGTAAATCTTATTTATAGCTTTATTCAGATGTGACATTTATGAAAAGAGTCACATGACTGCATGATATTTGGCATGGAGCAAAAGGAGGGGAGGGGTGTCACCACTTACTGTTCACCACAACAGAAATGATTCGACTTTGTCCAAGGAAGATCTGCAATTTAGCCCTCTAGACCTAAAAATAGTTTGTGGGGAGAAAAAAAGTTTGATGACACTGGCTGAGAGGCTATGCTCCTAAACTACAAGCCTTCATCATATTCACCCACCATTTCCACTCCAATGCATGAAGTCTGAATACATTTTTGGAACTGGTGAAGGAGGGTATGTTCAAGCTAAAACAAGATGCTGAGTTGGTGTTTAATACATTTCCACTGGGAGAGCTTTGCTGGACATGCATTATTTCCTCCATGCAACTAGGTATGACTGAAAGCCAAACATAAGGGGAGGGATACTTATCATTACCTCAACAAAGGGCGGGGACAATGTTTTTGCTGGCGTTTGTTAACAGTCTAACTCAAAAAGTGATGAACAGATTTTAATGGCATTTTTTGGAGAGGTAGGGTATGGCCCAGCTGCGACAAACTGTGAACACTTTGGTTCGTGGTCAGGGACCACCTCTAAGGCGCCTCGAGTGCCTCGAGTTTTCTTTTACCTCGTGTACACCACAATGCAAGTGGAAGAATAACTTTATAGACTAATGTGACATGAGTAGAATATCACTAAAAATGTGCCTCATGTCTGCGTGGAGGGAAAGTCTTGCTCACTTAAACTCCAAACTGGCTCAAAGGGAACAGTAGTGTTTATGAGTCTGTATGTGGGCACTCCTACTGTCTTCCTCACCTACTTTTCCTTTCATGCCTCCATGGATGGAGGGACTGAATGAGACAGGAAACTGGATCTGGGAGGAAAAAGATGACCCGTCCCTCACCTACTTGGTTTGTTTGAAATGTTGCCGTCTCTGGTGTGTATGAGCGTGTAAAACCTTTGACCTCTTCACGAGCAGCACGGGGGCCAAGAGGCCGATTACTGAATGGAAAGTACAGAGGCTGTGTGTTTATACAGTCTGTGTTTACAGTTAATAAAGTCTGCTGATTAAAAAAAAAAAAAGAAAACTGGGAGGGGTGATTATTAAGAAAGAGGTTTTCTCAGAAACTTACACATAACTAGGATATTAAAAGCACATAAAAATCCAGTAGGCCTTCATTTGACCAAATAAAGTCTGCTATCCCATCCAATAAAACCACCATTTATGTGTGCATATCGAAAGCTTTGTGCGTCACTGAACTGAGTGTGTCTGTGTATGTGTTCATAACTGCCTTTAAAAGGATAATCCAGAGGCTCAAGTATTTCCAGACCACTGTATCTGTAGCATGAAGCTGAGATTCCAAGAACCTGGTTCATCAGGTTAAAGGCAAGAGCCTGATTAAATACCGTACCTGTCAGTGAGAACAGCGTAGTGTTATCAGGCTAAGAATGTCACTTCCTTTACAGTCTGACCTACATGTCGCTGACACATAGAGCCGACTGTTTCATTCAAGCCTCTTTCAGCAATAGGAAATTCTTCATGAATCCGTGAAAGTGAATGTGTTCTTTTATTTAGTCTGATAAACTGTATCTGAATGCCTGGACAATAGATGGGTCCATCTCACATGTGCTTTTCAACACTGGCATTTACAGTGTAAACAAAGCAGCACTTCATCTCAAGAATTTCTAAAGTAGTTTAACTTTTGTTTTGGTGGAACAACCAAACAGTCATGAATTGGTTGTAAATAGATTGATTCATTGATTTTACAGATTGAGAACAGCTTACTCTGCTGCATCAATTTCAACCATTGTGCTTTTAATCCATCTCTTGTGAGTCCCCAAACTTTACAGAAGAACAGGAAGGATGTGCAATAAAGAGGAAAAGTTCAGCTTTCATGTGTAAATAAAGGAACACGCAGAACAAAGTTCTGCACTTCACAGAAGGAAGACAAGCAAGTACAAGATCCGTGGCAGCTCCACACACAGTTCCCCAACCAGTCATCGATATAAAACTTGCAGTTTTTCCTGGGATGAAATTTTAAATATAGAAAATCACCAAAAGGTCAGCAGTCTGACATTAATAATGTTTGCCAAGTGTAGCATCTCTTTCCCCAACTTTGCTTCTTTTAAGACAAAAAACTGGCAACGACCGGGATAAGGAAAGGCGAGGTGAGATAAACCCATGAAAGGGAAAAGGAAACATGGTTTTAAAAATTACAGAGTTTGTAGTATATCTAAATGGCATTTCTCTTACATCTCTCTGTGCTTCTTGTACACAGAAACATCCATTCAGTGTCCTGCAAGAATCCAAAAAAATGAACCTGGGTGACGTCAAATTCCTGCAGGAAACCTAACGGACATTTCTGTGTACAGGAATCATGAAGGGATGTAAGTTAAATGTCATTTGGATATACTACCAACTGAAAATTGGAGGAGTTCTCCTTAAAGGTCACATTTATTTATACTGTTTTGGAAGGACAGCAAGACAGAAGAAGCAGGCACTGACCTTCTCTCGGGGCTGAGGACGGCCTCCCTCTCCTGCCTGTCTGGGCTCCTATACCGGCTCCTCTTCTCAGCCTTTCTGGCCTCTGCCTCCAGCCGTCTGGATCGCGGTGTGTCATGGTGGCTGTAAGAGTGGCTGGACCTCTGGGTGGCTGGGTGGCTGTCAGTGCTAGTCACTGTGCTGCCGCTGCCATCCGAATCCAGAGAGCTGACCGAGTCGCTGATGTGAGAGCCATTGGAGAGTAGGGAGCTGCCAGAAGGGAAGGGGTCACAAGGGGCTGGTGAGAGGCAGCGTGGGACTCCTCCCAGGCTGGAGCAGGAGCCTGTGGGGGAGAGTAGGTCACTGGGTGGCTGGGGTACAGAGCCGTGCAGCACCAGGCCACCCCGGTCTGGTTCGTCTCCGTTCACTGAGCCTGATTCGGAACCCTGGCCCACAGATGCACAGTCACCTAGACAAGAGAAAAAATGAGTGATGTTGGGTGCAGTTTTAGTACACTCACTATATTATACACTTCAATATTCTTGTGTCATCTTGTAGAACTTACAGTTTGTTGATATACAGAACATTGCTCTGCAAGTGAGTTATTGAAGATCACTCTGTTCTACAAATACAAACGTGTTATTCCTCCTTACCTGCAGGGGGCAGTTGTGATCCTTGAGGATGGTCAGCAGCAGCCCAGACTGTAGCCCCCTCAGCCTCTTTTTGGTTCAGCTCCTCCTGCCAGATGATGGAGCTGGAGTCTGGAACCTTCTCAGCCTCGGAGATACCAGAGCAAGTCACTGCTACTTTTGCTGGACCTGGCTCCTGGACAAAAGCATGTGCAACACTCAAGAACACACAAAACGGAAAACTGATATCAAGCTGTGACAAAAGCCTGCTGTGTCTGATGAACAGGGAATTACTTGGGAGGTTGTAGGCTCCACCTTGCGTTTCTTCTTCTGGTTCTGTTTGTTGGTTCGGGGGTACACCACCAGCTGTTCACTCCACCTGAAAACAGACAGTGTTTTTGGCATTTGTGTGTACACATTTTACCATCCCTGACACAGTTATTTTTTATGACCTTAAATGTTTTATTGTTCTTTTGTGCTATATTTTGATTCTTACTGTAATGTAATTTAATTTAGCATTTTTTTACTCTTACCCATTGATGATCTCTTTATTCTCTCCTCTGATGAAGTATTCCTGGTCGGGGGTGATGATGCACAGGGAGTTCTTCTGGCCCGTCTTGGGCTCGGCGTCAATGACGTCCGTACAGAGGTTCATGTTCACAGTGCCCTGAGGCAGTGTGCTTGGCTAAGGGACAAACATGACAAGCACATGCTTATTGTATATCCTGTTTGCTAGCCTATATTATTTCCCTAGTGGTTCAATTCTAACATTATAACAAAAGCAAGTGCAAAAGTGGAACGTACAGTAAAAAAGGCAAATGTGGGAAAAAAATTAAGTCACTGGTTTCTATCCATGTCCATGTCCACCCACTGGTGTGATTCCATGTCGAACGGATAACTGCCCAACATTGATATCACTGGTATCACATTTCAAATAGTTGAAAACTCAAACCACAATGATCTAAAGGAAAACATGCCTTAGTGCTGAGCAGTCTTTCCCAGATTTGACTCAGCCGGTTTAACAGCGAGTCTCTTCCAATCCGTCATTCCTTGTCTGCCTCTCTTTTTTCAGAGGCATCATACATCAGGCCTGAACTGTATGGACACTCCACTGTTATCACCAGCTCACCATGGTAACTAGGCAAATCCTTTCAGTTGTAGTACACACTGGGTGAAAAGGGGAGATGACAGCAATGGGATGCCAAACTAAAGCTGCTTTGTGTGTGTGAGATCGGTGAAGATCGTAGAGCTATGTCTGCTTTGTGAAGCAGCTCCACACACAAAATACCATCTTGGTACTAAAACCAGAAATACAGAGTATTCAGGCCCCGTCACCTTTTGCACACTTTACTGTGTTGTAGATTTAATTTTATATGAATACAATTACCCTTTTTATTCCTCAGTCTACGCTAAATAGCCCATAATGATGAGGTGAAAACATGGGTTTAGAAATGTTAGTAGATGTATTTAAAATCAAAAGCTAAAATCTCTCTTTAGCAAAGCACTCACAGCCCTTGCTGTATCAATCCAAACTGTGGTCAGGTGCATATTCTTTGTTTAAATTTAGTTTGAGATTTGTCCCGGCCTTTATACTGAAGTACACCTGTGGTAAATTGGGCAAACATGTCAATTTTATCCTTGTAAAATTAAATCTACAACACAATGAACTGTGGATAAAATTAAGGGGTCTGAATACTTTCTGAAACAACTCTATATTTAACAGCAAGTCTCCTGTATGCTTTATGTGACTGGATTGTAATTTGAAGATGATCAGTTAGTCTTGTTAACATCAGAGTGAAGAAATCCCCAAAACTTCCTCTCCAACCTTTTGTGTGTCTGCTCTGAATCCTACCACTCTGTTATCAGGCTTTGCTGGGCTATGTCTGCTACAGATGTAAAACAGGTGCTGAGTTTCTTTCTAGCTCCTTTTAAGGCCACTGAACACAGATCCAGCTTTATTAAGATCTGCCTGTAAATGCCTGGGCGCTGCCAAATATGGCTATTACCCTGAGTCGCACTTTAGAACTCAGACGCTGTAGAAGAATTTCCTCCACTGCAAAGAAAACGATCAAATTTGAGGATAAGAGGCTCTAACTAATGATCCTGCAGTGTGGTAAAACTTAAGCCACATTATTTTCATAATGATATCTGTTACCATGAGAATGGTAATATAAAAGCTGAGGCGTTATGCACATTAGTAATCTATTACCACTAGATTACTCTCTTTCTGACCAAACAGTTCAGGAACCAATGTGCCACAGGAACTAAACTCGGGAACTTCTGCACACTGTTTCTGCATCTGCACCTCCACCACATTTATAAAGCTGTAAAGATTAGCCCATCATCAGAAAATGAAGCTTAAATTAAAACTAACTGTGGTATATACAATGCAAGTTTCACACATGGGGAAACTACAACAAAGGTGTTTTACTGTGTTCTAACATGGGTCAATGGATGTAAGGAATGGACTGAAAACTCCACCATGTCTACAAAGTAGATGAGTGTTTGATAGTTATTTAGTCCCGATTTTTAACTGTGGTCAGAGCTGCAGGAATTACCCGAATCAACAGGAAAGTTTCTGCCTAATTTTTTGATAAGAAACCATGCAGCTTTTCTGTGTTACTTGTTACTGTTAGGTGGGGCTTGGATTTCTTAAGCCCAGCTGATCCTGGTGCTGTAAGCAGCTTGTTCCTAAGAAACTATCTTATGCTACTGGCACCAAAACAAAGGAGGCGTATCTGCCAAGGCTGCCATTCAAACACAAACGAATTGTTGTGGGTTTGATTTCTCTACAAGTGGGCCAATTCCATATCCTCCAATTGTGTCTGCCTTCCATAGGGCTGCCTATTTTTAGCTTTGCTATGGGATATTATTAAAACCAATGTCTTTCTCACAGACTCCTTGTGAGATTTCAACCTCTCTGGCTGGCAGGACACGCTAAGACAAAACCAAAAACAATAACAATATAACCAACCAGAGAATGACAACAAAATGCTTTATGCTTCAAAGCAGATGTGGCCATAATGTAATTACCCCATGGTATTTTTTTTTTTTATTATTATTACAGCCCCGGTGCAACAGTAAACGTGGCATAAACTGTAAAAAAGGTTATGAAAAGAACAACAGAGCCAGCTTTAGAAGTGGAGTACACCCACTCCATAAATGATAAATCCTCCAGAAGGCTTTTACTGGCTGAGCCCAAGGCAAGTCTGCCACAGAAGGTTCTAGGAAGGAAATCGCTGTTTTATACAGTGGCAAGAAAAAGTATGTGAACCTTTTGGAATTTCATGGTTTTCTGCATTAATTTGTCATAAAATGTGATCTGATCTTCATATAAGTCAAGAGTACTGATGAATATAATGTGACTAAAATAATAACACACAAAAAAAATTCTGATCTTTCATGTCTAAAGCTGGAAAGGGTTTCAAAGTGATTTCAAAGACTTTAAATTCACCAGTCTACAGTTAGGTAAACAATGTACAAATGGAGACACTTTAGGACTGTGGCTACTCTACCAAGAAGTGGGCGCCCAGTCAAAATGACCCCAAGAGCACAACGAAGACTCATCAATGAGGTAAAGAAAGAACCTCAAGTGACAGCCAAAGATTTGAAGGCATCATTGGACCTGGATAACATCTATGTTCATGAGTCTACAGTACGTAAAACACTGAACAAGCAGGGTGTCTATGGCAGGACACCATGAAGGAAGCCGCTGCTTACTAAAAAGAACATTGCTGCACGCCTGAAGTTTGGGAAAGAGCACATTGACACTCCACAGCGGTATTGGCAAAATGTTTTGTGGACTGATGAGCAGGGTGTCTATGGTAGGACACCACGAAGGAAGCCGCTGCTTACTAAAAAGAACATTGCTGCATGCCTGAAGTTTGGGAAAGAGCACATTGACACTCCACAGTGGTATTGGCAAAATGTTTTGCTGCATCAGGGCCTGGCCAGCTTGCAGTCACTGAGGGGAAGATGAATTCCCAAGTGTATCAAAACATTCTTCAGGATAATGTGAGAATGTCTGTACGTCAGCTGAAAGAAGCTGGGTGATGCAACAGGACAATGACCCAAAACACTGGAGCAAGTCCACAACAGAATGGCTTCATAAAAACAAAAACTACCTTTTGGAGAGACCAAGTCAGAGCCCAGACCTCAGGCCAGTAGAGATGCTATGGAATGACTTGAAGAGAGCCATACAGGGGAGATGTCCAAAGAATATGACAGAGCTAAAGCAGTTCTGCAGGAACAATGGGCTAAAATTCCTCCTGAACGTTGTGCAGGTCTGATCCACAGCTACAGGAAGCACCTGGTTATTGCTGTCGGGGGTGGGGGTGGGGGGGTGTCAACCAGTTATTAATTCCAGGGGTTCACATACTTTTTCCACTACCATTTTGAATATTGAATGAGTGTCTTCAATAAAGACATGAAAGATCTTTTTTTTTGTGTGTGTGTGTTATTAATTTAGGCACATTATATTCATCAGTACTCTTGACTTAGATGAAGATCAGATCACATTTTATGACAAATTAATGCAGAAAACGATGAAATTCCAAAAGGTTCACATACTTTTTCTTGTATGGTACATGGTCCTCAACACAATACCCCCCCATCAAAAACCATAACAGACAAGAACCACTGCCAGTGCTATCAATGCTAGGTCTACAATGATTGAAATACTTTCAGAAAAATAAACAGTGGATTCTGAACAGTGATGTGGTAAAGTGGAATAATCTGACTAAAGGACAAATGACTGACCTACTTTTAATTTTCTAAAACAAGATGTAGGAGTAAAGAGGTCCTCTCCCAACCTTCAGCATGTTCTCATGGTCACTGAACTTTTGACCTTAAAGTTTTCAGGGTGGTCTCACTATTCCCATTTTTAGGGAAAAATCTGCCCCCCCAACTATCTGTGTCATTGTATAGCCATTTCTGGTCCGATTAGACATGTAAGTAACAACAGGGGTGTGTATTTCTCCCTCTTACACGATTCAATACATATCTCGATACATGGCTCCTGATTAGATACAAAAAAAGACACTGCAAAATTTGCAACAATATGATACAGTACAATTCAGAGTGATTGATTCAATTCAAAAGATATGGACTATACATACTTTAAAGTATCTGTTCAGGGTTTAATACTGAAAAAAGTTAGTGTTTCCTCAAAGCAGTTTTGTATTACAAGCAGCAAAAGCCAAATAGATAAAACATGATGTCTGCTTTTTTTTTACCAACAGTAAACAACGGGCACTGGTGAAAAGTAAACCTCCAGCTGCTGTTTCACCTCATCATACAGAGATGGATGCATTTTTCCCTTAAATCCTGCTGACTTGTTACCATGTGCCTCAGCTTCAGAGCCACTGTCATGTGTCCAAATTCCACATGTTCAACAACACAGGCGTGTTCTTGCTAATGAGAGAGCTTATAGCTTCAGTTACTGACTTCAGCCCAACCTGGTGGACTTATCAGCTGGAGTGCTCTGAAAGTAGCTGCTAAGTAGCACTGTTACTTGGCTCAAGCTGACTGCTCTCACAGCAAACTGTGCTCTTTCCATTGGTTTAACATATGTTGCCATTCTAACATTTTGGTGCTCCCAGTATGGCCTACTCGACACAAGTGCTGCATGTTCTGCACTCTGAGGTAGCTGCTAACACTAGCACTGTTTGCTCATGCAGCCGTCTC